CTCAATTTCTTATTTCCATTGTCAGTGATCCTAATGGTCTATGTTAATCCGATCAAATTAGAAAGATGTGTTTGTATAAACTAATCATTTTTCGTACTTGATGTCTTTTCGACCTTGACTTCCAAATACAATACATCCGTTTGTGCTCACATAGTTCTGTCTGGTTCAATTTGCGCTATTATTGTGAATTTCTAGTTTGAATAATAACTCAAGTACTTCCAATTATCGCAGGGGTCCATTTGTGAAAGTATTCAGATACTGCTAGTATCCCAGTCTATTTGTATCCATTCAGTGAATTTATAATTTGATTATTTATTACTGTCATATATTATTGTTAATCCAAGTACCTACATATGTATTCAGAAACACCGGTATTCTAGCCCTTTTATTATCAATCATCCACAATTAAGATAAGGAATATGATAGAAATTCGTCTTAATAATAGACAACTCTTCTTTGAAGTTGCTATTAACGTGTAGCATGTGAAAAAGTTATTCACGGAACGATTCTTAGGAGAAAATGTGACGTGAACACGAATCGCAGTTTTTTTCACTTTATCGTGCTACATTTTCAACACCTGTTATAACAAACGCTATACATATAGGAATCGCTATAGCTAGAAGATTGATGTATTATAAATGAGATTTCATTATATGTGAAAATTATATTTGAAATATTCTCAGCGATTGAAATTTAAATAATTCCAACGTTTCGTCCAGCTAACTTGTCTGGACGAAACGTTGGAATTATTTAAATTTCAATCGCTGAGAATATTTCAAATATAATTTTCACATATAATGACTTCTATACTCGGTGCTGAATTACTGTCAAACTATTCGTTTTAATCTTGACAAATATTCGCATACAGATGAGATTGTTTATCAAGATTCGAAAATCTAAATCAAAGTTTTTCAGGAATAGATAATGTCCTTATATTGTTTTCATCCGGAATGAAGTTATTAGTGTTCACGACGTAGAAGTCGAAATTTCTTAAGCATGTGCAAACAAAAAACAATTCATTTTTATTGTACAACTATATTTTCAAAATTCTACATGCTACCAGTAGACAAACAAATCCCTAGTGTAATAACAATCATAAAGATAATTCAGCGAAGAAAATCTTCTTTTTGAAAAAATCATTTAATTAAGCTGTACATTCGCATTTACAGTTGTATTGTAAATGGATGGAAAAGACTGCCTCATGAATTAATTCTAAAATCTGGATATCAAGTAAGGTTGTAATATAGTCCTGGGTCTATGGAAGAATAAAAGGATAAAAATAACTTATGGGTCAGAATTATCAAAGATAATTGTCTGCGTGATAGATACGAAGAAAGGAAGAAAAAACATAGAGGTCATAATAATAAATGAATAATATTAATGAACTGTTCAAAGATAATAATAAATGCATATGATTAGAAATTATTGAAAGTGTGAATGTTTGCAACCAGAGCCTAGAGCGCCATGTGAAATGTATGTTATGTACTAAATCTAACGTAAAATATATGCTGAATTAAAACCTTACCATTACATCGGTAAGTACTCACGGAGGCAGAAGAAAAAACACAACAAACATTAATTCGAAAATAAACATTTTACAGGAAATGACAAAAACATACAGATATTAACTATCACACTTGAACTCTGTTAAGCTTTTTATCACCATCCCTGCTTGTTAACTCCGTTTCTTGAGTCATACAAGAACATTCTGCTTGAAACATTCATAGCTTGTGCTATTTGGCTTTCGGAACAGGTCACACTTTGAACCGTGAACACGAAATCTAACAAAAACAGTTGACTGTAATCTTGACCTAATGCCAAATGTTCCGCAAAATCGGTGGCTAATTACAAAGTTATGACGGAAATTTCATTTTACTGATGCAGATTCTAGAATATGGGATATATATGAGGCGACATCAGACTTTCGAATTTCGACTGTAAGCTGTGGCAGTGAGATGTTAAGTTAACCGTTCTGATATCAGATTCTAGCGTAAAAACTACTGTATCGGACGAAAAAACTCTACTGTCTTCACCAAAAACTATAATTCGTGATTTTCGCCATCATTCTATGTATTAGAGAAACGGGTGAAATAATGTCACTGACAGTGAGGCATATCTGTCACAAAGCGTTGGAAACCTTTAACAGCAAATTCTTCTACACAAAACCAGTATTCTGGTTCGCAACCGTCAATCAACCATCATTTTGACAGTGATGCTATGAAAGTCTCAACTAAGTGAAAAGAATAACGAAATATCAATATATATGAGTCATATATGCATAGTGAAGATAAAACTGGTCTGAGAAGTTAATTTAAGTGTAACACAAGTTATTGTCTTAATTATAAACTTCGTAATCTTAAGAATATTTATTTAGAGGGAAAGAAAAGAGAAAAGGAAGGAACACCTAGTGAAAAGATTCATCCACGATAAGAATAATAATTGTGTAATGAATATCACCCTCAGAAGGAAACCAGCAATTGAAAAAATAAAATAAAAAAGTAGATAGTGAAGATACAGCAGGCTCTTCTTAACCTATCTTATGTGACCGAGAGAAATAGGTCATACAAATAAAAGTAGTGGTAGGCCTGCGATGAGAGCACTGTTGCACAACATATATGTGTTTCTTCGCATCTATTTTCAAAAATGTACCAGTGACAGTTAATGTGTATTCAAAAGAAAATGAAAAAATCGTGCGAAATACTCCGAGTAGTAAACGTCAAACTGAAGTGCAATGTATTTATATCGTTTATTGGCTGAGGTTTGTACATTCTGAGGTGTTTTTCAAATGATAAATCTATAAGTATTATTTAGCAATTTATCAAATAAAATGTGCTAAAGATCGAGAGTACGGAAATACAAAACACCAAAGAACTGTATGAAACTAGAGTGTAGAGATAATAGAAATCAGTGAGGTCTAGAAAGAATAAGAATAAAAGTAATGATGCCAAAGAGCATGTTTGTTGAACACTTTAACTTCATGTGCTAAAATGAAAGATACAGTGATTATTAGCTTGCTGTTTTATTGTGATGTTAGTAGTGTGGATGATTATTGACGTGGAAGAAACAAATAACTGAATCAGACAAATATGGTCGTCACAACGTATTTGTCATCTCAGTGGACTATATTTCCAGCTCTGATTGCAGTTACTACTATTGTTGATATATGGTGTCAGAGTTGACTATCACTGACTTGTTCGATCCTCCTCCGTCTGCAGATCTATACAATTATGTCTTTAGTTTTTGTTCAGTATTCTTTAAGGATGCCGGTTTCAAAACATCAAGATTAACACTATCGTCCCATTCAACTTTCTCTATAGTGGCTGCATTGACATTTTTCCGTAGGATTTCAAAAGGAACCATATCAGGAATCTACAATGGATATCGTAATTGATTATCTCTAGTGAATGTGCATGTCGCGGTAGGAATATCGACGTCCTCATAGTGAATGAAATGCAGTGTAACTATTTTCGATCGCCAAACCAGAACTAGTGAACAAGCAATGGCACAGGAATCGATTTATTCAACAGTTACAACACGTTCATTCACTGGCACAATATCAATTACTACTATCTAAACAGCAATAATGAGAGCATATGTCTTCATACTTTCGTTGGATTTTCTATATGACTCTGAATTCCTACTACGAATTCATAGATTACCCTATCATCGTTAATACTTTAACATCTTTTAAACGAATAGCTATCTGCAGCTTAGTGAATCGATCAGTACAATGTTAGTGTGTTAGTAAAAGTATTAGGTAATGCACGTCGAATGCACTGTGCTTACGTCAGAATGCAAACTATGATATATATGTGCAGGTGAAAATTGAGGCTTTGATTTTCGGTGAAATCGTCCCGCCAATAGCTTGTGAATGGTAGGCGGTCGATCGGAGCTATATAATTCCTAGGAGTGTAGTAAGACAACGGTTAGACAACGATATGTTGCAGAAATAGTTTCCGCAAATGTAATTGCTATTCAATTCAGCCGTGGTAACATCAAACATGTTAGGCGACCTATTTCTCCAGACAGTGTGAGAACGACGAGGCCATAGCTGTCTTTCACTGAATGTGCTTTAGAAACATAACAAGCTGCAAAATGCATACTCAACTTTCTTACTTATGGAAATAATGAACAAATATTGTATGTTTACGATTCAAAGGGACAACAGTCCCATCAAAGAACTATTATGAATGAACTAATGTTAGTTGTGGGCTTTTTAAGTTTTTTGGGAGCGATCAACTCACTCCTAATTAATTGGCTTGCTTCTCAACTAAATAGTCGACTTTTTAAGGTCAGGGTAAACTTCATTTTTTTCAGGCTATGAAATGTCCTAGTGAGGTCCTCAGGGTTCAGTATTAAGATCTCTTCTTCCAATGATTTATAGAAACTATGTTCTTCAGAAAGTATCGTGACGTAGTCCGTTTGAGACATGTAACAGACTACGAATCCAACTTAAATAACTGCGACAAGAATGCCTTTCGAGTAAACCTTGCATTGGTAACTTTAAAGCACATTTGTCGCCCGTTCGACAGCAGAATTCAAATCCAGGCACTATGAAGAGCACCACAAATCACTGAACCTTTACCCGTTAAACCATATGAGTCACAAGGAAGACCTTCTGGCGGCTAAGAGCATCCCCTAAATACATACCTACGCTCACTCCCAACATAAACCTCAGAGAAGACACCGAGAAACTCTAGACAACAACAGAGAGGAATGTATGTACACATTCTATTCCTTGAGAGTGGTCAAATTCTGGAATTCACTGACTGCTTTTCCAGTCCAAGAGACCCCTCAGGAGTGCTTTTAGAGAAAACTGACATATTCTTAAGGTCTAAGGACAGTATCTCCCAATATTTTACTAGTATTTTTTCCTCTTATCGTTAAAAATATTATGTTCCTACCTGGAGAAAATCGGTGATCTACTGCTTCTGGATACGGAAGCCCGTTAAGCGGAAGCTTCATCCATTCCATCTGAAATCATTCGGAACAACTTCTTTTTAAAATTGTATGGAGAGACTGCGGCGCGAAATTTGACCTCGGGCTAAGATGAATGATTATATCGAAGAGAAACAGTTTGTGGTAGAAGGTACAAGCTGTACCTTGTTTGATGATCGGGAAAAAGCTCTTGAAGTTGATGGGGAAAAACTACTCATACCATGGTGTGGTGACAAATCAATTTTGATCGATAGGTCAGGCTCTGTTATTCATAACATTATCCGTATAATTTGCAAATAATTATGTAGTTGTGCATCCTGAATTATTTTTCAGGTGATGAGGTAACGTTTTACTTTTTTAGATTGAGGTGTTTCATGTCAGATTCTTTTACGTCGACCTAAATATTCTACAGATCAATCGATAGTAGGCGAGCATGACCTCAACAAGTTGCTCATATTTGATGAGATATACCAAGGCAATTGCCTAGCTAAATTCTGGAAGCTGATTGTGTTGTGGGATAGGGTTTGTCCAGGGTATATGTGAGATGTTATTGTATAGAACTTGTAACACCCGCATGAGGTGGCTTCGGTAGGATTACAAAATACTAGACAGTCGAAGTCTTAGAAATGAGTGATAAGCACACGGTTTATAACCCATTCTTACTTTTTTTAAAGGTTTGAGTTAAATGTACATATATTTGCAGAAATAACTATCAAGCCATTTCAGTCTTCAGTAATAAGGGCAGTAGGTTGATGAACCTGTGTTAATCCTGACAGTTTGCATTCCATTGAAGGTCTGGTTTCTCTTTGAAAATGTTCGCCGATGAAGCTAATACCACTTGTTCGCGTAAGGTGTTCCAGTCATTGAACACCCGATGAGGAAAACGGAACTCCGCTTCAAGTTTATTAGATAGCAGTTTGTGAACCTTCTTGCCATGAATTCGGAGATTATTACCGCTGGAAAGAGCAAAACGATGAGACAATAACTCCCATGTCGTAATTAAAGATGCGAAGTGCGAATATAAAGTCACCTCGCGTCCTACGATACGACAAGGGGAAAAGGTTTAGGCATTTCAAGCACTCATCGTAAGGGAGTTTAGAAAAACCCTTCACTGATTTTGTTCCCACACGCTGAACACGCCCAAGTGAGTTAGTATCCTTAATCAGACATGGTCCAGCTGCTTGTATACAGTTCTCTATGGGCTTTACTTATGTACTTGAGATGTGGTCAGCTATTGTGTAAACTATGCAAGATTACTAAAAAAATAACATAAATCTTCCTCACACTTTAGCTGCTGTAACTCTCGTTCTTGCTAACAGTTTGTGCTCGTCTGAGTAGTCCTAAAACGTGTTTTTGTATTTCGTAACACCCAAACCACGCCCGACTTCGCTTACAAAAAGACTGGATGACGACATCTAAGATGAGACGGTAATCTTGGAAACATTGTTTTTCACCCTACATTTTCTGTCCAATATCATGATGCTCTCTACCAAGAAGAATTCACTAAACAGAAGCATGGCTTTAATTTATAAGTAAATGTCGCTAAAAGCGAAGAACTCTATCACAGTCGGGGTTTATTGTGGATTTTTGATTGGGAAGCAGCATACGTGTTCGGCCCAATCTTAGCCCGTTTGAAATCCTTGGTCAACTTGCACCCCCAGTTGTACAGGTGAGATATCCATCTCCCAATCAAGAGAAAAGTATAATTCTCAGTATTTCATTGTTTTAGTTTATGGTTGTGAAGCTTGGCCTCGAAAAGTAGAGGGTAATCGTAGGTTACTGGTATTTGGTCATAGGTGTCTTCAAAGTATCGCCCACGTATTGTAGAACGACGAAGTGAACAATACTAAGGTTAGGGATAGATTAGTAGACAAATTCAGTGAGTCGTTTGACGAAGGTAAGTCTTCATCAACTAGGACACCCATTGCGTACATTCACTCACATCCTACTCCAAGGTGGAGCGCTGACTGGCGTATAAGTAAGATGGGAGAAAGCTAGTGGTGGTCGAACGAAGATGTATCAGTCCTTGGAATTATTGACTGTTGGGTTGAATTATTTCATTAGATTCAGATTACCTGATTGGAGTCCGCTCAAAGACCGTAATCAGTGACAGGAGATGTAAGGCTATAAAAAGCAAAATTTTCAACAGTAGTGCAGATTGTCAATGGTACTTTTGCTACTTCACTAGTTTTCACCGCTCTAGTATTATCTTGATGTTTCAAACTACGCTTGGGCGTTTGTTCCATGCTTCGCGTTGCTTATGACTGACTGTGGTTAGAACTTTGTTGTTAGTCAAGCTATTCGGGTGTCAGTTCACGCATTAATTAGTACAATCATGCTTACATTCAGAACTCTCGTTTTTCAACCTTTACGGACATATTCTTGTGCAAACAGTCCACTTATGTCGTTTTATCAGTATAGGGGCTGTGGAGATTATTAGATTTTTGATTGAGATCATGAACCGCTTAGTGTTTAACCACCACTGAAAACCTGAAAGCACTGGACGGCTGTTTCGTCCTATTGCGGGACTCCTCAGCAGTGGGCATCTACAATCCCGCTAGCCCTGGGTTCGAATCCTGCGAGCGGGATTGTAGATGGGCACTGCTGAAGAGTCCTACAATATGTCGTTTTAAATGTAACGATGCTCTTCAACCATTTGTCATTGGATTTATACTCTGTTCATATCATTATTCATCTCAGTAAAAATGTTAAACTTTAGTCTTAGTATCAAAATACTAAATTTAGATGGTATTATAGATATTTCAGTGTGTTGATTATCTGTTATGTTAAAAACTGCTCTATCCTTGTGATAATTTCAGTTTTGGCGTTACTTGGTCTTTGATTTTAAGGGAGTTTGTCACGTAACATATGTATATATATCTTAATGTATACTAGGCTTTAGGGTAACTCATGTTTTCACAAATTCCACTAATTGTCTTATATAGCTGTCTGAAAATTCTTTAACCTCGTACTAATTCACTAGTAGACATGATTATATCTCTGCAAAAATCTTAGCAAATATAAATATAGCAATTGAAAGTAAAACATACATAATCTTCCAACAAAACATTTATGTACTGAATTATCGTTGAAATTCATATCTTTTAATACTCAAATTTAGGACAGCCTCAAGGTGTCAGTGTTTTTAGCTATAAACGGTCTTTCTATAAAACCGTGTTTAGTGAAATCTCGCTTTACATTTTTATTCTGACCCCTTAACCACCTACGTTATAATTCTACTCAATTTTGGCTTAAACATCTAATTGATGTCTCCTTTCATAATAACTGTCGCTCAAGCTTTATTATATGAACCTGCCGTTAGTTGCTTAGTTTAACCGAATGATTAGTTTTCCATATTGTCTGCCAAGTCGATCGCAAGTATTAACTTGTATCAGTTTGCTTACTTCACTTATTCACCAGTATTAAAGGTCCTCAAATTGACTCTGAGGATGTATATATTAAAATATCTGGGGAGTGTCTTCCAGTCATTGTTTATGTGAGATATAGTGAATGATCGAGCAACTTCCGTGTTACTTTGGGTTAGCTTATATGGTTCTCAACTTCATGCAACCGGTATCCACGTGCCATGTATGTATAGCGATCTCATTCAACATGTTCTTTAGTTTCAAATCAGCCTAATGTTAAATTTGTCTATCGTTTTTATCTATCTCACTTGATGGGATGACAAACTTATTAACAATATTATCACTAAGTAGCCCAAAATTTTCATAAAGTTTTCAGTACTACAGTTATCTAATTCCTCAAATTATTACGTTTTATCTCAATTTTGTCATCAACTGACTTTTATTTCGCTACCTTCAGGTTCGATGGACGTGGGTATCTCACTGATGTTTATGAGGAAGATCCTAGTTGCGATTTAAGTCCTGACGATCACTTGTCTGAAGAAGAGATTGCAATAGAAAAGATGTGTGATTTCGAACGTTATTTGGAAATGCAAGTGGACGTCCATGAACTCGCAATTCAAGATGGTGAGTTTACTTTTGTATTTGTGTTTTGATGTATTCTGCAATACCACCCTTGCTGATTGTTAATGTGCTCTTAGCTTTTGAGTCAACACATCTTTGGTAAACGTATGTTGACAACTTCGTCTTACGTGGTAAGTTATGTTTATCAACAGAATACAGTCCTTTTAACTTGATATTTGCTGTGATTGTCACTAAATTAACGTTGTTTGGGTTTTTATGTTCATTAGTGCATCCACTGCACATTTTATGCTCCAGAGATTAACACGTTTTACGTCTGTTTATATCTTGCAGGTTGTTTTTTGGAGTGGGACATGCGATTCGAGCCCGATGAGGCTATGGGAATAAGTATACTTTCAATGTAATTAAACATAAGTCATTTTTTAAAACAAACTCCTACACTCACGTTTTCCATTCCCATATATATCATTCGTCCTGTTTTTTGTTTTATAGAAGAAGCTCGAAAACGTGAAGCTGAACGATCTCGCAATGACTATGGAGCCGTTAGCTTCTCTTACGATGAAAATGCTTCCCAACCAAATGGCGACGAATCATACGCTAACAAGGGATCAAGTAAGTAATTGTTTTTTTTATAGAAATTGGTATTTTATGTTGAATTGGACTATATGTTTGTCAATGAAATTTATTCTACAGCTTACTTAACTATTTACTCGGATTTTTGCTATTTGTTAACTGATATGCAAGAATAATCCGCATGACTTGTTAATGTTTAAATACTATTGTCAACCATTTAATGAAGATGAATTTACAGGCAGTTCAATTTCAAATGATTATTAAACTCTCAAATTATCGTATTTAGAAAATGACAAGTCTTGGGGATTAATGTCAAGTGTATCACTTCATAATTACTCGCTACTTTCTGTTATAGGTCTTGTCTAGTCCTTTAATTTTGTAGATTCAAACTAACTGCCAAGAACTCTAGTTCGTCGTCGCTCTACTTTGACCTTATCAACTCCCTATTGTTTAACATTCTACTTAACGTCTAGTCAACAAATGAGCTGGTAAGAACACCTGACAAATATATGCCGAAAATCTTTTAAGTTGCTTGAACATTTTATTTGATATGGTTGCTTTCGGAGTTTTTCACTCAGTTGCAATAGTAGATTCAAATCGATCTGATTGGTTAGTTGCCCTAATATGAGGGCGGTATAAACTGACGAAGATTCATGAATGTTGGGTTGTTAACAGATTATTTCACAAAAGTAAATAGTCATTTTCTGGTATGTTGCGTCATCGCTTAAATGAACAGTCTTTTTCGTTTCAAAGCAATCTCTTTTTTCTAAACTAGTTGAGCCTGGGATTAATGAACAGCACTATGAAGAGCCATATAACTGTCCTCCTGAGCTACAACAACTCTTGTCGAATTTCCAACTTCCGGAATCCGATAAACAAGCTCACATTATTGAAAAAACTGCTGTTTTCGTCTCTCGACAAGGAAGTCAAATGGAAATAGTTCTTAAAGCTAAACAAAATAAAAATCCACTGTTTGGCTTTTTGACTTATGACCACCCACTTAATCCCTTCTACAAGGAGATTGTGAGGTTAATTTCCCAAGGTCGGTACGTTCCGAAACCTCGTCAGACTACAGATAAACCAACTGGGACACTCTTTACAAGTTCGGACGAGTCAAACAAGGTAAGCGTCAAGTTTTTTGAGTTTGCAGATCGTTATATTTACCTCTCTTAGTAGTGTTAAGTGATGATTTTTTGGTATGACTTTTTTACACGTGGTCACAATTCTTATTGCATCTGTTTTACTTATTTAATTACTTACTTTACTATTACTCTTACTTTTACTTTACGTACTAAGTATCATCTAATAAGCTCCACGTTGTTGCGTGAAATATTCGTGTTATGCATTCTCTAAATATTACCGTTACATTTTTTGGAAAAAGAAATAGGATAGTTTAAACGAGGAATGTAAGTCGTTTTTAGGTTGGCAAGTAATTATCCACTTAACACCAGGTATCTTCAGGTTTAAAGTTTATCTACACCCAGTCATGATTATCTTTCAAACAGTTTTATGCATTCAGAACTTACCTCTGTTATGTGTAAATATTCATTATTAAGGTCATACATACCTCCATTTTCCGTTGTTTTCAGTCAATTCATGAAGATGTTTACGAATTGAAGCTACCAAAGGTGGACATTTCAAATACATCATATGCTCCACTAATATCCAAGTTCAAGAAAATTAATGAAATGTAAGTTCAGTGATGCGATAATTTTCGGATTTGAACTAAAATACACTTTCTTTTAACGAATGTTGTTACTTTGGTTCTTATTGTGGATCTCAGTCTACTAAATTATTTTTGTTTATACAAAGTAATGATTTAAATTGACTACGAACTTTCGTGATTCCTAATTATTTATTAAAAGAATGGGATTCTTGCTTCTTATAACAACTGAATACTTTTATTTCTCTGTTTACTCGGTAAAGTCATAGAAATTCAGATTACTCAGAATTCTAATTTCAGAAATAAAACCATCGGTATAGATAATATTAATTGGTGGCTTAACCATGGGGAATATTTATAGTGTTCAAGTAAAAGTACTGCATACGCAAAAATATTCAAATAATTCACACTGATTTTACAGATTATATTGTAACCTGGTGAAACCGTCGAATAAGTTGTACAGAGGTTAGAGATAGGTTACAACATAGCAATAGTAAATCCGCTGATGAGCATATGCAGGTTCATTAACTGACATGGAAGAGACCCCAATATAATATGCTACCTAGCACAAATGAATCAGAAAAAAGCTCAGTTCATAGAGTTTTCGTATGCTGAAGAGAGATATACAATTTGGGACTGAGGTCAACAAAATGATCCTAATCTATGATTAGGTGAATTGGGTGTTGCCTTCAAATTGGTCTCAATAGTGAAACCGTATAATCCTTTCCTTATGTTTCGTTAAATTCCAAGTCTTAGTAGTTCCCCATACATTTGAACCCTCGAAGTTTATTTGTTCTTTCGATCTTAACTGTCTACATTGGTTGTTTTTCTTGCTATCAACAATATCACTGTGATTTTGTTGATTCCATCTTACCCTGTTTTTGTGAAGTGCAGCATCCCAAGTTGATGCAAATTTATTCGGAAGCCTAATTCGTTTATAACTATTTGGGTGATAAGGATGTGATCAAACATGAGACTTAGATTTCTTCGGTATGTTCGTAACATTGGTTTGATTAGGGGTTCGTTGATAGATACATCTTAGTATAGTTGTGTCTTTTGCAGAATCTAATATAATTATAGCAAATAAGTACTTTGACTTCGCTGTGTATTTAGGGTAGTAGAGAGTCACATCTAAAAATGATTTGCTTTTTAACAATAATGAACTGTGAAATACGCGTTTTTGTCTGATTATTCCCAGCTATCAGTCTTCAGAACATTTTTGGAAACTCAGATGTAATCATAGTTTACGGTCGTTCACTAGTGTCTTATAGCTTACCTATAACATGTTCATTGCACAAAATTGTGTACTTATTACGTTGTAGTACGACGTAAGGTTTTAAGATTCATTGTTAATTTAGTTTATTAGACACATTCAGTGTATGTCTTCATAGATTTATTACTCGCTGTATGTTTAGTGTTCTCTTCTGCCCTATCGTCTTATTTGAAGTTACAGCTTCATTACTATCAAACTGTTGCTAGACTTCTGTTTTCTTTTAGTAGTCAGATTTTCGAATTTTAATGGACTAGTTATAAACCAGTGTAACAACAACGGTACTCCCGACAGTACCCAATGTATTCATAGCTTGTGAAATTTGTTCAGATTTGAGCTGTTATTATCGAGCTGTCGCTCAATTCCGGTTATTTTGTAATGTGCATAAAATAAGTAGTTCTCAAATTTATTTAAAAGTCTGCTTAAGTTTTGATGTTTATTGTACCACTACAGGGCTGCAGCTGTCGCGGCTGCAAATCGTGTTACCCCTGTTTCTGATATCCAGTCTTCTACCGCTACTCCCGAGGCATTGACAGAAACAGAACGTCCTCTTTATGATCCTAGTGAGGTTGACAATAGCTCTTTGGACAGCCTAAAAGACAATAATAAACCTTTGGATTCAGAAAAGACGAAGACTCCTTCACCACAATCTGAAGTCCAAGCCGACGTTTCTGCTACTAATGAAAGCCCTGCTGATGTTCCAGTAGTTGGAAAAGACAATGTGATATCAGAATTAGTAGATCCTTTGTCTCCAGAAGAGTATGAACGTATTTACCAAGAGTATTATAAACACTACTATGCTCATTATTACACACATTATTCTAACCAGTGGGCTTTATCTGAGCATGTCAACGATGAAAGTTTCAATATTGTACAAGAAGCAGCTAAGGCAGCCGCTATAGCAGCTGCGGCTGCAGTCAATGTTGTCCAACAAACACGTTTAAAAGCTAGTGCTCCCGTAATGTTCGAGTAAGTTTTTCTCTTGCTATTATTAATAATATTGTTATTTTAATCGGCAGTAATTGTGGAAATAGTAATATACACTTATAATTCATCGTGTACTTGCTTGCTCTAGTATTTTTGTGTTAAAATCATTCAATACAGCTACATATTTTTCAGCTGTATTTGATGCATTTTTCTTCATCGTGTTAATGTCCTGATAGTTGAGTTTTATACTTTAATATATATATATATATATATATATATATCGAAATCTCGTTAATTCTTCAGATTTATAGTTAGTTCATATATTCTTTTCTTCTCCAATAGTGAAGCAATTTTCCCCAAGTATTGTAAGAGAAAAAGAGAGACAAACTGGACAGTATCCGACCTCGCCCAGTAATGGCTGAGTTCAAGATCTCATATTTTTAAACTTCATAAAGATACGATAAACACTCAAAAAACTTAAAATTGATCGGATATATGGCGTAGTTATACAGGATGCAGATCAATACAGAACAACTTGGTGTTCGAGTTTTCTTAGAGGGAGGATGAAGTAATTGATCTGCATCTTTAAAATCTGGTTTTTATTATACCATCAAAGGTCTCTTAGCATTGTTGTCTAGGATGTGGTAACTTTTAACTATAAACTCAGCAATTTACTTACGTTTTATATCGCTTACTCTACTGATCAGTTACATGTCATAATGAGTTTTCTTAACCACACTAGCTATTATGAATGGATTCTAGTTTGTCATATGCACCAGCGCAATTAATTTAGTTTATTCAAATTCATTACTCTATCAACTAAATTATCTTTTGTGATTTAAACAGTGTTACTCCATTATTTCTATCTAGTTAAATCTAAAAGAAACAGGCAGTATTTAGAGGAAACCTAAAGATTATCACTTGTCGATCTTTTCACGTTATTACTTTCTAAAAGATAATAAGAAAGTAAACAAGATTACTGTACTTATTATGAGGTACATGACCCGTATAACGATGTGTCGTCGATTGTCATCATTCGCCGTACAGTCTTAAGGCTAACTGAAATCTTTTTTAACTCATTTCTTCAGTATTGTAATGCAGATTAGAAGTAAATCATGTTCACAAGACTGTAGGTTAGTATTTAAAAAATACGGTGAAATTCAGCAGCAATATAAAAATTTATATACGATGTTATAAATATGTTCCGGGAATAATTGCAGAATGCCTGCCGATTTCTAAGTGTGATCCGGCTTCTTAAAAAAATTTGAGTTTGAAATCTGTAACATTAACTCTGAAAATACCGTCAGGAAGAAGCGCTGGAAGTGGATAAGACACACATTGCGGAATGCACCCAACTGCGTCACTAGACAAGCCCTCACATGGAATTCTCAAGGCCAAAGGAAGAGAGGAAGACCAAAGAACACATTACGCCGGGAAAGGGAGATAGACTTGAGAAAAATGAACAAGAATTGGATGGATCTAGAAAAGAAGGTCTAGGACAGAGTGGGTTGGAGAGTGCTGGTTTGTGGCTTATGCTTCATTGGGAGTAACAGGCGTAAGTAAGTAATTAACATTATAATCATAGTATGTGTAAAAGTGGTGGGTAACTATATATATATCACATTGTTTTTGTACCCTATCACTACGGCATTCCTGTTTTGATATTCTTTGCAGACCTCCACTTAGTGATGAACAGCGTGGTATTATAAATAAAATGGCAGAATATGTTGTTCGCAATGGTTTAGAATTTGAAGAATTGGTCGTTCGACAAAAAAGCAAAGATCCACGATTTGGATTTCTGAAATCAGACCATCCTTTACATTCATATTACATGGCTAAAAGAAAAGAACTAGACCCTGATGATAGCTTGACTAAAGCTGCAGACTCTAATTTTATTAGTATACCTCCTTCAAAATCATTCAAAGTAAGCTCGTCAAAAAAATTGGATTCAAATGAAAAGCCTGAAACAATGTTTGAAGATAGTAAAACGAAAAATGGTTCTCTTAGTAAGTAGTTTGGATGGTAATTAGTATTCATTTCTCTGTAAACATAGTACAAACTTTTATGAACATTCACAAGTTCTCAATTAAAAAAAAGTCTTTTGGACTAATCGCTTGTTCAACGTTTTGTGTTATAAAAATGAAAAACACATCTATTTTAAATAATTTGTAATTATAGTTTCTCATTATCGAATTCCCTAATCCAAATCTCTTTCGACTATTCTGACTACAATATGAGTTTTGATTATGTCCAGGCGTTCATTACTAGAGGAGTTCGTTTCAGTTGTATTTTTATGCAGCGAATATTTCAAGGTCTTGAACTTGTTTATGCTATAGTCTTTGTGGTCAATGGATTTACTATCATAGGGGAAATATACATAAACTCCAGTTTAGTTGGTCTTACGAATACTTACTATAAATAAATACTGAATAATACGTTTACCGTTGCTATCATCAAAAATACAACGCGCCATACCTGGGTATTTATAGAGCTGTTTATTTTAGCATCACGGGAGATTTAACTTCGTTTCTCTTCAGCTTCCATATGAAGCTTAAAGTTTTCAAATTGCCAATTTAGATTGTAGTGTAGTACTTGAGACACAAGAGGTTTTCTAATACTTCAGTATTCTGTTTCGATAATTTCTATTGTAAAATAATGCACTATTTTGCTGGGTTTCAATGTTTTTCTCAGTTGCAACATTTCTGTTGCATCTCGTTGATGTAAGAATTTATTGCAATATTGTTTTAATCAACCAGTAAATTAGCTTATGTACCAAACCGTCATATATTTGAAGTTAAACGTTAACTTCATTCTTTATGGCTTCCTTATCTACGCATCAGTTTAGTTTTCCATGATAGGCAATCTAGCTAATTCAAAGTCATTTCCACTGAGTTGCTCTATTCACAGTTTTTTTGTTTCGGGATATGAATTCATACTTATCGTATATATTTCTATATAACTTGTTATAATATTTCTTTTACAGAAAATCCTCAGTCTCTTGATTCTCATAAAGACAAAAAAGATGATTTTGAAGCTTATAATTCAGAACGTCAAACGGGCATCAGTTTCCGATTAGCCCGCCCGATTCCATCAAAGTCTCAGTCCACTCAAAATACAGAAACGTCGGCGGGAGAAATTATGGACATAATTGAAGCTGCTGCACTAGAGTACTCAGAATCTGTTTCCAAAAGTTCAAGACGAACTAACGAACAACTTAATAGGTTATTGAGTCATTCGAAAAGTGACAGTCAGTCAAAATCACGGAAGAGAAAAACTCGATCTCCAAAAATGTGTGTTATACCTGGTATTCCCAGTCCTAGTTCATCGTCTTCCTCGGAATCGTATCCACCTCAAGTTGAAAGTCCATACTCTTACACAAATCGTTCTAGTGGAGCTTCAAATTCGAATTCTGTTTGTACATCACCCTCCATATCCGTTGAGCGAAATGAGAGAAATAAACCAATGCATAACATTCAGTCTCCTGTTCAGTCTGTCTGTAACATCACTTCACCGTATGATAATAATTTGTGTTCTCCTGTGGAGTTGATATCTAATTCAAGTTCACATTTAACCTCCAACTGGCCTTCATGCGCTCTTGAAGATTTATTAGGTAAACACAGCCTTTGTTCTTGATCTATATTTGTATACAATAAGTTTCCGTTATTTAGTTTCATTAAAGCATACTTTTTAATTTGATATAACGTACTTTGCAAACAAGTTTGCTGAATTATTATGTTGTTCATTCTCTCCAAATGATAGATATACATGAACCTACAAGTCTTTTAGACTTCTCTGCCGATGGTTATCAAGTTACGGTCCCTACAGCTAAAGAAGAGCGTCTGCGTGAGGAAAGGCGTAAAAAAGCTGCCCAATTGGTTACCCAGTTGAAGTTAACTAATTCTATCACAAAAGGAAGTGTAAATGTAAGTACAACTATCTCCAAATCTTCGACAGTTAATACCACATCAACGACGGCTAATCGGTATCGTTCGTCACCTCCACCAGCTCCTGATTCAGTCCCTGCAGCCGTCGCTCATGCTGTAGTTGCTAACATGAAACGTCGTCGAGAAGCTTTGGAAATCGAGAACAAAGTATGTTAATGCTTTTGACTTTTTAAATATGTGAATACTCTATTAGTCAAGGATTCTTTTCGCTTTAACGGTGCAATGATACTCCAATGCATTTTGTTATTATCTCAATCTGTTCATTTATAAAGACGCTATTGTAATGCACGAATTTTACCTCGTTTGTAGGCTCGTAGAAGGCGCCATCGTTCACCACCAGCTGCTTATGCATTTGCGCGTAATCGAATCTCTGACAGATCTCCACGGAGGTCACCAACTCCTAGGTGTGATTCTTATGATCGTGAGGACCCAAGAGATCGGGACGATCATCATTCAAAGTCCAAGAAAAAACATAAAAAATCTCATTATTAATCACATCGTAAAGACATTATTGTAAACAAGTGTACATATTTATATTATATTGTGATCTTGTATTATTAAGCAGAAATGTGATTTATTCGAACAAGGTTTTAATTCTTGTTCTTTTCCACAGTTTTGAGCAGTTGAAAAGTCCTGTATCAGCCACAAGAGATTTTCGAAACTATAATTGTAATGTAATTTATATCTAAATGTCTGATTTGTATGATATGTGTAACCTTGATAAAATTTGATACTGAACGACTTGGATTTGTAATAATTACCAGTTTATATTCACATTTCATATATTCTAGCACGCGAATACCAACCTTTATCCACTGACAAGTTGCTTTTATTGCTGAAAATTTCTTTAATTGTTTAGCTACCGAGCATGTAAATAAGATTTGAATTTTTAGACCACCATTATTATAATTGTAGTTGATTCCTTTCAACAACAATTTATTGTGTCAAGGGGGAGTATCCACGGAAAAGTCTGAATAAACGTCCCGTTTGGCGTCCGTTGATAATGAGTATAGACCATTTGGATTTTTGTAACATTCGTTAAATCTCATTAGAAAATATTCCTGGTTTACAACGGGAGAATATTATTAGATTCTGTGTACTTGTCGTTAGCTTGTTTCTCACGACAACTAGTGTAAACACGTATCTTAATTATTTTCTTCAGGTTTAAGTTATTTTTACAATCTCCGAATTGTTAGGTTCATTATTTGCATAGAATCTATGTACCGTTTATGAAACAATAATAACTCAATCAGGCAGCTAGAAATTGTCACCATAAAGTTTTGCTAAAAGTGATTGAACTAGGATACTTGAAACATATCTTTACTCATGACCACATAATGCAATCCAGTAAATCCGTTTGAATACCGACTATTGGGGTTTCTTTTACTGACTGAACGATTTTCCGATAATGATAGCGAGATTGCAAAATAGGGGTAAACGTGACATACAATAGTTGAAGTTTCGTCGGGATGATACGTTAACTAGACCCATTTTTATTAATCCAGAGTTAGCAGTTTCATTTTAAAATGGTTCTAAAGAAGACAAAAGGTTTGGTTATAAAGCAAGGTCAACATGGATATATTAAAGTGTGAGCAATACGATTATTGTGTGTAGTCACTGCATATTCACTTTAACAGAATAAAAGAAAGGTTTTGTTTTTTACTTTTTTTGAAATCATAAAGTTAATCAACGTTACAATGAAAACACTTTTCTGCAGTATTCTTTTGTTGCATTGATTGAAAATATCAACGGAAAACTGCTTATTCCTGGACACATGGCCTTTTTGTGAATAGTCTCACATATGCTAGCTCCATACCTTGGAACTCTTAATGCCACCAGAAATCCATAGGGTAACGCGAGATGCGCTATTTTCATGGTCAACCTTTTCTAACCTCTTTACGTCATGAAAAGATAGTGTCTTTGTGAATGCTTTTTGTCTGGGAGGAACTACTACCATCACAACCCAGTACGGCCAGCAACATAACTTCGTCATGTATAAGTTATTACTCTTAGTCTTATCATTCTTCAGCTAACCTGCCTGACATATTAAGACCAATAGGAATAAGTGTTTCAACCAAAATAACTATCTGGTCATCACAATAAGCAAACCTTAGCACCACGGTGAGGTATCATTTACAGTTGTGGAGTTATTTATTTAATAAGGAATGTAAATGTGAAATTGTAAGAACTTTCTGCTTGTGTTTAACGATAGATATTAATTTTAACAATCTGCGTAATTAAACCAAAAAATAAAATTATGCTTCAGATTTCTATCAATAAAACAAGAAGTAGTTGCCGTGATATACTACTGTTATTAACCTAGTTTTGTTGATTTTATTTTTGAAATGAGGTGAATATACAATTTTTATTGATAAACTCTGGAATGTGTTTGTGAAACTACACAAAATCGATAATTGAGCAAAGGTCACCTACTCATGGCTGTTATTTTCTTATTAGTAATTTCTTTATGTTTATTCTAACGGTTAATTTTTTTATAAAAATGTTATTTACTTATATCCAAATCATTCTCCATCCTAATAGTTATGAGACAAAATTTCAAGGATAAACTTAATTACGATGACCCAATTAGTATATATAAGTGAATTGAGTCAGTTATATGGAAATAGTTACATGAGCTGTAGTCAGAGTAGGCTTTACTCTTGAGTATTGAAAACAGATTTCAAAAAGAAGTGCTTAAGTCCATAGACTGGATTTTTCAATCTGCTGGAAATCGCGTATGTTATTAAGAGTGGTTCATCAAGTTTCAAAATATTTGTCAAAAGACTTGTTTGCCCATCCTGTGCATTGTCCAATTGACAGAAATCAAACACGACTCGGACACTAATATTTAATTGGTTGGAAAATTCGTCGTTTTATGCGAATAGATAATTTTCGGAAGCTGCTTCTCATATGAGATAGATTAAAAGACTTAATATCCTCCTTTTTCCATAATAGCGATTGGGTTGCAGGGGGTTATTTCGTTTTGTCTTCTTCAAAGTATTAGTTGAGATATAGTTACATTTATGCAGTTACGAGTGCTAGTGGTGGTTTAGCAAGTGAGATCAATATATGCATTACAAGAGTAATAACGTCTTATACTAGTTTGTCCTTAAAAGACCAGGTGCCAAATACTTCGGTGTGAGCAGTTCGAATTAATGTGGAGTATGACGCCACAGCTGAAGACATTCAGTTATCATCTGAGAAGTGCCCACATTCGTGTAAAGACAGTACAAATAATGCAGAAGTTTGGTAGCTTAATGTTGGTGTTGAGAAGTGAAACACGTTTAAGGTGTCCTAGGTGCTTTTGCATCACGTTATTTACTGACGCCTATGAAGAACTGTAGAGTGAAAGATATATGTGAACAGTTACATCCGTTTGTCCATCTTAACTATCTGGATCAAAATCTAAAGACTAGTGTAATTCATTGTTCTAATAATGTATCAGAATAGCGGCATGTGAAGGTCCTTCTGAATATTTTTATATTTTCCCAGTATAATATACAATATAACATACCTTTCGAATGAACGAGATTTAGCTCGACCATATCTCATTACCAGTATTGATCTTTATCACTTCCTATTCTTATATTTGATATACCGTCGGCATCATTCTTTTTCGTCTTTTTCACCATATTCTTACTTCATTTTGTCTGGAGCAGATTTTTTGCTATAGTCTATCATAAACTTTTGGTTATGGTTGAAATGGGATTTTTTTTGCCTAGCTCCATTCATTACACGAAGTAATATTTTTCCATGAGTTAGTTCCATTGCATATGGAAAATTGTCCATAAATGAAAATATAATCAAATACTGACGGTGACTTTTTACCAACTTTTAAAGCAACACAGTGACAGTTGACAAATTTGAAAATTGTTTCTAGCTAAAAGTTTAGCTCATTCATATCTAGAACATATTTAGCACTGACATCAGTTATTTATCAGTAGGTTTTATAACAAATCTAATTATAAGGTCGTATAATCAGGAAGTTACGTTAGACAGATAGTTGACGATAATACACTGACATGACATTAATTAGACAACTATATAAACCTTTCTAGGGATTCACATAGCATTACTTTCTTATTATGATGAAAATTCACCAATCACTAAATGATCCAATTTTGCAGATATTCGAAGTTAAAACTAATTTCATTTAATTGTCTTTATTTTCACCACATTTATTTGACCAAATAATAACACATTCACAATCAAGGAGGGTTAACAAATTACTTGATGATAACAATCAATGGTATAACAACAATGACAACAGTAATTGCAATGACATTAATATTGAGTTAACTGGAATGGGAATCTTGATGTAAGCAAAAGCAAAAGAGATTAATACTTAAAATTGCCACATGAAATATCTAATCTATTTTCTATTTTTTCCTTCATATTCCACTTTAAATAGTCACCTCATTTTGCAAAAATCTCTATTCTGTTTGCTGTTTGAATTGCACACCGGTTTGTTAAAAGGTGAATCGATCATTTAAAGCATTATCTCATGAAATTGTAAAAATATTTCCAATTCTGATGGTGTGAAAACTCCATCTCCTGAATTTGAAATTAAAAAAAGAAATCCAGGAGAAATAAATGAGATTTTGCCATTTAATTAGGAAGAATGATTAGAAGTAAAAAAAAACTAGTATTCATAATGTAGCATATTTTTAATAGCTCGTAGACAAGTAATTAATTCCATAATCCACTTACACTTTTGAATTGGGAATCATTTAACATATTAATAAATTTACTTAATAAGAAAACTAATAATACGGTAATAAATGTTCTGTTATAAAAGTGGGACTTTCACAAAGTTCAGTCATGTGTATGCGATTGAGCTGAATAATTCGATGCACATGACAATTGGAAACTCAAATCCAAGATATTCCAGATAATCTTGTAGCCCTCGTCATTCAACACTTGAGAAAATAAATAAACATTGAAAGATCAGAAGAGTTGGAAATGTATTTCATGCCTTTACTGTCAATAATATAATAAGATGTGTTTGGATATTTGTACGAGGATGTGGCATGAGCCTGAAAATCAGTGAGGATGCAGTTTTAAAGGAATCACACTTAAAATTTTTGAAGATAAATTTAAAAAAATCATTTTTATAGACAATTCTAGTCAAAATGTTTATTTAAAATATTTCCTAGAAGGTTCATCGGAATAATTGAGTTGGAATGTTACACTAACTAATTAAAAGAAGATAATTTTTGACATTATTGGAGACTCTTAGGTCTTGAGATGGTGGAGGAGATTTGTAGCTCAGGTGGATGATTTTGATGGAGTTTAGTTCTCTGAGCTAGATGGTTTGGTTGTTCTTCTGATCGATGAAAGCTCCACGACCATACCATCCACCTCAGAGAACTAAACTCTATCAAAAAACTCTTAAGTCTTCAATTCGTTAACCCAAAATATAATGAATAACAGATATTAAATAGCACTGAAAATAAACTCAAGTTATTCAGTGTCATTTTGTAGACTTTAATTTTGAGTTTTATCACAATTTCTTACTCTAACAAATTTTTAAATGGTAAAAAGTATTAAAATTCAATGTGAGCAATCAAACTACAAGATATACCATATTAGAGTGCTTTATTGATTTATAGATAATCACTATGGTCAATATCAGTTTGAATTTTCTAAGTATTATTATCTAGTAACACATAAATATGCAAAATTGATTTATTTCACCTATTAATTTCCTTTTTGATTGTCTTAAAATTCTATTTTGGTAAATGTTGTTCCATGTGGGTAGTACATTATAACCATTAGGTAGTTTTAATTAATTACCTATCACTTGTAAATAAAAGTACAATCATTAATATATGAAGAACAATAAGCTGTGGATTTATTGGTCTTATAGATTATTAAAATACTGATAAACAGCAGAATT